AGGGGCCGTTTATCAAACACTTACCAGTAAAATTTAACACTATTATATACTTATCGGGTAAGATTTTAGTCCACCAAAACGACATAATATACAACAATTTATCTAGACTATATATACAACTCTAGCCTAGAATCAAGGAGTAAAAAGATATACAACTCTAGCCTAGAATCAAGGAGTAAAAAGAGTCCCGATATGAGAGGATAGGGATCGATTATAGGATAGACATGATTTATATATGGATAATATTATGAAAATCTATACTTCTCCTCAAGGTGGTGCATGTAGATTTTGCATGCCCAGCTTGCTGACTAGAGACTCGAACTGTTGTAGTCCCAAAGCCTTAGTAAAGAGGTATGCAATTTGCATCTTTGTGTGGATGGGGGGAGGAACAAATTCTTGAGCTTCTACCCATTCTCTAACAAAGTAGCAATCCATCTCAACATGTTTAGTCCGTTCATGAAAGACTGGATTTGTGGTAATGTTTGGTGCAACTTGATTGTCGCAGTAAATGGGTGTAGGCCCATTTTGCTTAACTTCGAGTTTATCCAAGAGCCATCACATCCATATTATCTCGCTTACTATGGTAGCCATTGCTCGATATTCTGCTTCAACTAATGACCGCGAGACAAATATATGTTTCTTTGACTTCCACGAGATAGGTGCCCCTCCTAGGAGTAAAACGTATCCTGTTCGTGACCTTCGAGTGAAAGGGCATCCAAGCCAATCTGCATCACAATACGTGATGAGATTTGTTCCTCCTTGTCTCGGAAAGAAGATACCTTTCCCAAGAGTGGTTTTCAGGTATCTCAAGACACTTGTGGCTGCATCTAAGTGGTCTTGTCGGGGATCCGACACAAATTGACTCAGGACATTCACAGCATATATAAGATCCGGTCTAGTGGCTTGGAGATACAATAGTTTACCTACCAGTCTTTGGTACTTACTTGCATCTACACGTGGCTTTTCATTATCTTTGTTAAGTTTCAAGTTCTGCTCTATTGGAAAGAAGCACGGTCAACATCCCAACATTCCAGCATCCTCTAGAATGTCGAGAATATATTTTCTCTGACTTAACGCCAAACCATCTTTAGTACGAGCCACTTCTATTCCAAGGAAGAACTTTAAAGGACCCAAATCCTTTATGCTAAATTTCTTGTCCAAGAAGGCTTTTGTTTCTTCAATTTTATTCTTCTCATTTCCCACAATGATAATGTCATCAACGTATATGAGAGTAGTAATGAAAATCTTGTCTTGTTTGTATATGAAGAGGGAATGACCCGCATGCGATTGTTCAAACTTGAGTTTGATGAGTACCGATGTTAGTTTTTGGTGTAACAACCCACATATTCCATGTACAGATAATTCACATCATCATACTCATAATACTAAAAATAGTATTGTTACAAAACATGGACTAACAAAAACTTTCTTTAATACATATATGAGTAAACAAATGTCATCATCATTTAAACTTCTCCCTTTTCTTTATCTTGCGAAGTATGATGACCTGCAAAACCGGTTAGTCCAACAACTGAGCATTAGACCAAAAAGGTCTAGTGAGTGCATAATTCTTAACAAACAACATACATTCCAAACAATCAGTTCAGAATCAAACATGTTCTGATACATAAACTTATTTATGTATCTCTCACTGTTACACCTCCATTACATCTCTCTCGCGGTTACACCGCCATTACATCTCTCTCGCGGTTACACCGCCATTACATCTCTCTCTCGCGGTTACACCACCATTACATCTCTCTCTCTCTGTTACACCGCCATTACATCTCTCTCGCGGTTACACCGCCATTACATTTCAAAAACATTTCAACACTTTAACCGGATTTGAAGTCCGGTCAACTTTGTCCGGGTATGAAATCAGGACAAACACTTAGAATAATAGGATTAACCATCATCTCCGGTCAACAATCCGGACAACACCTCGTATAAGCATTGTCCTATTAACACTTAGAATTAAGTCAATATCTTTGTCCGGATAACAAGTCCGGACAATACTCCGCTCATGACTTGACCAATTTAAAATAATCCGATCAATACATCGCCCAAATCCTTTGACCGATTTAGATGAGATCCAGTCACCTCTTAACCGGTTTAAGAAGGACTCCGGACACTCTTTGTCCGGTTTAACACTTAACTAAAATATTTATGAAATATAGTTCATAAATAACATATTCTAACAATGAAAGATGTAATAACCAATACTTCAAAGCAATATACACTCACCTTGAACAAGGAAATCTTGATTCTGAATTCTCTTCTTTTTTTCTGCCAAATCGTACAATTCACAAAAAAACTTTTCTAATGAAGCCAGTATGAAAAACCCTCTACATCCTTCCCTCTTACTATTTATAGTAAGAGGAGACACTAATATGGCGACTCACACACACACACACAACCGACTTACCTTTTTCCCATAATTGATTTTATCTCAAATAAAAACAATTATACATACACACACCTTCTTATATATAAAATCCAAAAATTTAAATTCAAATCTCAAACCTGAATATTACATTTGGTACCAATTTCTTGAGGCTTGCTTTAAACTATAGAGTGACTTCTTCAACTTGCACACTTTGGTTCCTCCCTCTTTCTCGTAGCCTTCCGGTATCTTCATGTAAACTTCTTCATCCAAGTCACCATGTAGGAATGCATTGTTAACATCCAACTGGTGAACGCCCCAATCTCTTTTGACCGTAATAGAAAGGAGAGTCCTAACGGTCACCAACTTTGCCACTGTTGCAAACGTGTCATGATAGTCGACCCCCTCCATTTAAGTGAAACCCTTTTGCGACGAGTCTAGCTTCGTATCTTTCTATCTCATCGTTTGGCTCGTATTTTATTTTGTAAACCCATTTAAAATCTATGGGTCGTTTTCACTTGGCAATTCCTCAATAGACCACGTCTCATTTTCTTCCAAAGCTTGTATCTCCCTTTGCATGGAATTTCTCCAATTTGATCCTGCACTGCTTGGTTAAAAGTCTTTGGCTCATCATTGGAGGTGATGGTCGCCAAGAATGCTTTGTGAGATTTCAAAAAAAATTCTTAAGAAATATAATTAGCCAAAGGGTATACCGTGGAGGCTTCTTGATTTGGGACGGGTTGCTAATGGTCTATAAATGGAGGGAGCTTGACCACGTAATCTTCCAAGTGCTTGGGTCTTGACCTGTTTCTTCTCTCTCTGCCTTGGTCGACATTACCACCCTCGCCATTAACATTCTCATCATGATTGGTTTCATGACTTTCAACTTCAATATTAGCATCAGTTTCTTTAAAGGGTTGTCCATCCTCTTCATTGGTGGAGTCACTTGAAGAGTCATTTGGATTAGAATCCCCTCCATCGGTTGGTTCATTCTTCTTTTCGTTTTGTTGATTTAGTGCCTCTCCCACGTCATAAGGCACCTCAATTTCATCATCACTTTCTCCTTTGTCCTCTTTGACATTGGTGCTAAAAGGAAAATAATTCTCAGCAAACTTTACATCCCTTGACACAATAATTTTATTATGGCTCGGGTCGTAAATTTTGTAATCCTTTGTACCATGAGGATAACCTACAAAAACTCTTGGTCTTCCTCTTATTTCAAACTTATGTACTCCGATAATAGACCAAGCATTCGAAGATTCTCATGTGATCATAGTTTGGCTTATGACCATATAACAGCTCGTATGGAGTTTTGTCTTCGATAATTTTTGAAGGCAATCTATTAATGATGTACGTTGCTGTCAAAACGCACTCACCCCAAAACTTTGCTGGAAGACATGCTTCAATTTTTAAAGCTCAAGCAACCTCAAGTAAATGCATGTGTTTTAGCTCCACAACCCCATTTTGTTGTGGGGTATGTAGACAAGTTGTTTTTAAAACTATTCCATGCTCGGCATAAAAATTTGTCATTTGGTTGGAGGTAAATTCACCACCATTGTCACACCTGATTCTTTTAATATTCCTTTCAAATTGAGTTTTAATCATCTTGTGAAAGTCAATCAAACATGTGCTTGCTTCATGTTTGTGTTTTAGAAGAAAGACCCAAACCACCCTTTTGAAATCGTCTACAATAATCAAGAAATAACTTGCTTTTGAAAAATAAGGCGTTCGATATTTTCCCCATATGTCACAATGCAACAAATTAAAACAAGCATTTGTTTTAGTAACACGAATCGGAAAGGGTTGTCTCGTAAGTTTGGATTTAACACAAGAATCACAAACATGATCTTTATTTTTAAACGAAATGTTTCTAAGGAAACTTATTCGAGTCAACTTCTCTCCACTAGCATGTCTTAACCTCTTGTGCCACATATCAACCTTTGACATCATAGCATTTCTCTTCATTCCAAGCCTTCCCATCCGATATAGACCATTCGTGCATCTACTCGCTACAATCAAGTTCCTCGAAGCTAGGTCCTGCATGAGAAAGAAATCCGGGAAAAAGCTTACAACACACTTTAAATCACTTGAAAGTTTACTAACAGATAAAAGGTTGCAATTGAAATCGGGAATATGCAAGACTCCTTTCACTTTAGTCCCGTTTGGTAGGGTGTGATTTCCTCTTCCTTCTACAGGCACAACCTCTCCATTGGGTATGGTTACGAGTTCTTCATTAATATAAGAGATTATATCTTCAAGGATGTCAGTTCTGCTGGTCATGTGTTTAGTAGCTTCTGTATCGATGATCCATGAATAATTGTGACTTATTTTACCTGCCATGTTTGTTGTTGGTGGTGCGTCACTCTTTGTTTTATTTTCTTCGGGTGCAAAGTGTTTTAGGAACTTCTGATATTGATATTTGGTTAGGCCCTCAATGGGGCTTGATTCACACAAGCAACTCTCGGTTTTATCTTGTCTTGCTTATTCTTTCCTGGTCACCACTCTGGATAACCAATGCGTTTGAAACACCCCTCACGAGAATGACCGTTTTTGTCACAAAAACTGCAGTGTTCCATCTGTTTTGCATTCTTCTTCATGACTTCGTTGCCTTGTTGGCTCACATCATGTTTACGTAAGCCTGAAACGTTGTTGCTTCAGTAGTAGGTCTCTTGGCGTTAGTTATAGATATCTGCTGCTCGTCTTCTGCAACCAAGTGATAGGTGCTTCCAAGCGATGGTGTGGGTTTCAATGCGAGTATCTGAGTCCTCACAATCGAGAACTCACTGTCCAACCCCATGAGAAATTCGTAGAGTTTCTCTTTCTCCCTGAGATCATCTAGCGATTTTATGAGACCACAAGCACATCCATTACAAGAGCACTGAAGGGTAGGAAGGACAAATTGAATTTCATCCCATAATCCTCGAAGCTCTGTATAATAGGCAGAAACGGTCATGCCATCTTGCCGGGTATTGGAGATCGTTTGTTTTAGTTCATATGCACGGGGTGCACTTTCCTTTCCAAACCTTTCATGAAGGTTCGACAGCGGCATTGTTAGCGTATTTTACGCTGGTTTGAATGTCCTTGTCAATGGCAGTCGTGAGCCACCCTTTGATCATCGTATCACATCGCATCCAAGCCATATGATCCGCAACAGTCTTTTCTGATTTCTTTATTGTTCCATCGATGAAGCCAATCTTGTTCTTAGCAAATAAAAAATTTTCCATCTCTTGGACCCAATCTTTATAGTTGTTGTCCGTTAAAGCATCATTGACGTGCATCTATCGTGGATGGTCTTACGGGTGGATGTAGAAGGGAGAGTTGACATTTGGACCGCTCCCTTCATTCTTGTTGGAGTCATTCTTGTCGCCAGCTATAGTGCCAATGGCAGCTTCGGGTTAGGTTGATCTATTGAGCAATGCTAAAACCTACTCTCATACCATATAGAATTTTGCTTCTTTATTGCTTGAGTTTCTGATACAACCGATTACTTAGAGCCTAGACTATACATACAACTCTAGCCTAGAATCAAGGAGTAAAAAGATATACAACTCTAGCCTAGAATCAAGGAGTAAAAAGAGTCCCGATATGAGAGGATCGGGATCGATTACAGGATAGGCATGAGTTATATATGGATAATATTATGAAATTCTATATATTCTTTGCTTTTCTAATACACTAATTCCGTCCTATAAGCTTGGCGAATAACAAAATGAGTATTCGGATAATTCAATGATTATTTTGATCTTAAAGGCTGTAAAATCAAGTGTATATATACACACCCAGATTCCACGTTTAACATATTTATATGAGAGATCAATGGTTACATACAATTAGACACTTATAACCACTTACAGATAAGATCCAACGAATCAAAAGCTCTGAGTCAAAAGGCTCAGAAGCCTCGAGTTAAAAGCCTTCTCAATCAGAAGCTTCTAATGCAAACTCAAAGGCTTCTTATTCAATTTAGAAGCTTCTGATTCCATACTTAGTCTCCAAATTACCAAGTTTTCTTACCATACTCAGTAAGGATTCCAACCTTCTGAATTTCATTCAAAATGTTCAGAACCCAAATTCACCGTTAGGGCCTGCGCCTTGGACCCCGCAAGGGGGTGCTACAACCTGTTGACCCTCACCTTATGGCGATCAAACTTAATAGAGAGAACATCTGTGAATATATATCCACACCCCCAAACTTATGATATGTACGCCTTTTCATCACGTCAATCTCTTGTAGATCATAATTACACCAAAGTAGCTTGATGACACTAAAATCCAGGGGCGGATATAGTGAGGACTGGTTGGGGTCCTGGGCCCCCAACAAAAACTATTTTACAAAGCCTAAAAAAAATTACTTGTAATTTTTAATTGAGTACAATTGGGCCCCCAACATCATGTTGTAAGAGGCCCCCTCGTTCACTTCATCAGTTCACGCCTAACGGCCTAAGTTCCTAACCTTGACGGACGAGACGACAGACGAGAGAGACAGAGGAACGACAGACGAGATTCGAGAGAGTAGAGATAGACGAAGACGACAATTCACGACTTCACGAACGATGGAACGAGAAACGACAAACGAGAGGTTCACTGTTCACGCCACTTCTTCTTCTTCATCAATCTAACAATCTTCATCGCTGCCTGCTTCTTCGCCTCGGTTTTTCCTTTCGGCAGTTCACTGGAGTAGGTAAATATTCTAATTTCCAAATCTAGTCTTTAATTTTAATTACTTCTTTGATTTTATTGTTTGCTTATTGGTGATTTGGTGGTAAATGCTTTAGGTTAGGTTAATTTTGTAGGCAAATCAAATAGAAATATCAAATGATAGGTTAATTTTGTAGGCAAATCAAATGGAAATATCAAATGATAGGTTAATTTTGTAGGCAATTTTGTAGGCAAATCAAATGGAAATGTCAAATGTTAGGTTAATTTTGTAGGCAAATAAAAATGTTACTAAACCATTGATTTTTATCTTGTTATTGCTAGAAAAAAATGGAAAGATTTTTTAAAAGGAAAGCATCAACACCTGAATCGAGCTCTGCTCCTTTGATGCCTTGCGAAATTGATTTGAACGATCTTCCTTGGGATCCAACCAATAGGAAAAAGGTTTCGGAATATCATCATAATCAAAGGGATGAAATAAGAAGAAAATACTTGCTTAGAGTACCTTGTCAACCACGGGGTCATGCATTTCCAAAAAAATTTGTCGGGAGTAAAGGAAGACGTTTTTGTCCGACTTGGTTTGATCAATACGCTAATTGATTGAAGTATAGTGTAAAAACGGATAGAACTTTTTGTTTGTGTTGTTATTTGCTTAGAGATCATTACATAGGACAATGTGGGAGTGATGCTTTTATAACAGATGGTTTTAATAGTTGGAATAAAACGGAAAGACTTGGTCTTCATGTCGACGACATCAATAGTTTTCACAATAGAGCACTTAAGAAAAGTGAGGATCTAATGAGCCAAGATCGATCTATTGTCGTTGCCTTTCATAAGCAAACTGAGAAAGAAAAGAATGAGCACTGAATACGATTAAATGCTTCAATTAAGGCCTATAGATTCTTGTTGAAGAATGCATTGCCCTTTCGTGGTCACGATGAATCTGAAATGTCTATCTCTAAAGTCATGTTCTTGGAAACATTAGCCTTAATTGGTGATTGCAATGAGGATGTAGGTAAAGTTATATTAAAAAATGCTCCAAAGAATAATCAAATGGTGTCTCCAAGTATTCAAAAAGATATTGCTGCTTGTTTTACAAATCAAATACTCAAATCCATTCGTAAAGAAGTTGGTGATGATGTGTTCTCATTGCTAGTTGATGAGTCTAGTGACGTTTCTAAGAAGGAACAAATGGCGGTGGTTTTACGATATATTGATGCACGTGGTATTGTTAAGGAGAGATTTTTTTGGTATTGTTCATGTGACGGAGACATCTTCTTCAATTCTTAAATCTGCCATTGATAGTTTATTTGCTGAACATGGATTGAGTTTGAAACAGGTAAGAGGGCAAGGTTATGACGGAGCAAGCAATATGCGCGGTGAGTTCAATGGATTAAAGGCCTTGATCTTGAATGAAAATAGCTCGGCATATTATATCCATTGTTTTGCTCACCAACTTCAATTAGTTGTTGTGGCGGTTGCCAATAAACATGACAGAGTTGAGAACTTTTTTAATATGTTAGGAATGGTGATCAATGTGGTGAATGCTTCTTGCAAGCGTAAAGACATGCTTCGACAAAGTTACAAAGATAGAGTGCAAGAAGCAATTGGTAAGTGTGAAATTGATACTGGAACAGGGAAATACCAAGAGCTTTCTCTTATACGAGCCGGAGATACACGGTGGGGTTCTCATTACAAAACCATTTTGAGCTTGATTGCTTTGTTTCCGAATGTTGTTGAAGTGCTCCGGTATGTTGAAGAGGACGGGGATAATGGTTTTAGTCGCACTCAAGCAACTGGTATTTTAGCATATTTGAAGACATTTGATTTTGTGATTTATTTGCATTTGATGTTTCATATTTTAGAGGTCATAGACTTGTTGTCACAGGCTCTTCAAAAAAAGGATCAAGATATTTTGGAAGCGGTTTCATTGATAAAGGGACCTAAACAACTATTGCAACAATTTAGAGAAACTGGTTTTGATCCACTTTTGAAGAAAATGTATTCTTTTTGTGAGGTAATGATATTAAGGCTTTGGATATGGAAGACCGTTATCAAAAAACGGAAGACAAAGGACCAACATCTCCAATTGTCATTATTACAAGTTTGATATTTTCAACACTGTTGTGGACATGCAAATTCAAGAGTTTGGGGATCGATTTAGTGAGGTAAGTACTGAATTGCTTAAAAATATAGCAGCTTTGAGTCCATGCGATTCATTTTCGCAGTTCAATGTATCAGATTTATTGAAGTTGAGTGAGTTGTATCCTCAAGATTTTAGTCATATGGAAATGATCGTTTTTGAGAAACAACTTAACATGTACTATTTGATTGTGCGTCAGGATGAAAGATTTGACAATTTGAGTGGTATTGTCGAGCTCGCTAGACTGCTAGTGAAAACAAAAAAACATAAAACTTATCCTCTAGTATATCGGTTTTTGAAGTTGGCTTTGGTTTTGCCAGTTGCTACTGCAACAGTCGAAAGATGTTTTTCTGCTATGAAGATTGTGAAGTCAGATTTGCGCAACAAAATCKGTGATGAATTTTTGAATGCTGCAATGATATGTACTATAGAAAAAGAAGCACTTCTCACAGTTTCAAATGATGATGTAATTACTCAATTTCAAAACACGAAGAGTCGGAGGGCACAGTTGTAAGAGGTAACTTTTTATCATTTTTGTATGAAGTTGAAGTTAATTAATGTAATAGTGGAGTTTTAGGCATACTACAACTAGCTCATGTAACCGTATATCACTTGTCAAGTTTACATATGACAATAGCTATCATTCTAGCATACAACCAACTTCATACGATGCTTTATATGGAAAACGAATGCAAAACCCCATTATAATGTACAACTTTGACATAACACTAAAGCATTCAAGAAAGAAAAACCAGAACAACTTCGTACGTATAATATATTCACTCTGTATACTATATTCACATAGCATTGTAACATTTGTACTTGTTTAATCCAATTGACAATTTTATGTTACTTTACCTCTAACGTGAAACATAAATGAAAAGTGTAGAAGAAGAATATATTTTCAATTATAATATATACATATATATAATATATATAGAGAGAGAGAGAGAGAGGGGAATAATCAAATGATATGTATATATAAAATAGTAATTAAAAAAACATATACACATGGGTAGCCTTTAGTGTCTTTATATATATATGTATATATATATATATGTGTGTGTATATATATATATATATATATATATATATATATATATTGATTGCAGGTTTGCTTGTGTTTGGTTATTGCTTCACTTATTTCTCTCCGTATTTGCACTTACATTTCATTTTGGAGAAAAAAATGGCACACCTGCCTCCAAAAGTGCCACAAAACTGGTCAGAAAACTACCAGCACCACCAAAAGCCGCTATCTACTGACCATCTGCCACCACCCACCGCTGCCACCGCCGCCGCGGCCACCCAGATGGATCCTTCATGGGTTGATGATTTCCTTGACTTCTCGTCAACCAAACGTGGCTCCCACCGCCGATCCGTCAGCGACTCCGCAGCCTTCCTCGAGATCCCAATGCTGGGTGAGGACAATTGCCGCAGATCGTCTGCACCAGGATCAAGAAGCGGCAACGGCGGCAGTGCAGCCACGGAATTCGACCGTTTCGATGAGGAACAATTCATGTCGATGTTCATCGACGATGAAACGGCAACTGGGCCCACGGTTTCGTGCTCGAACCCTTCGTCACCATCGGATCATAACAGCATGAATGAGCAACAGCAGATGGAGGAGGAGGAGAGTTCATGGAAATCTGAAACACAGTTCAATCCCCATGCAACAACAATGGACAATTCTGACAAGATTTTTGATCCCAAAAGGATAAAAAGGTGATCTTTGATCTACAATTAATAAATCAAATTGCTTTATACATACATATATATATATTCCTAAATTCAATTTGGTTTTTTGTACAAGAATTCTGGCAAATCGACAATCTGCTCAAAGATCCAGAGTGAGGAAATTGCAGTACATATCGGAATTGGAACGCAGTGTAAACTCTTTACAAGTATGCATTAAATTCTTCTTAATTATTTTTTTAAAATTAATTTTGTTGAATTATGATTTAATTAAATAAATAAAATGAATTGAAGGCAGAAGTATCGGTGTTATCACCAAGGGTGGCATATTTGGACCATCAACGACTGGTTCTAAATGTGGATAACAGTGTTCTCAGACAAAGGATTGCTGCTCTCTCACAAGACAAGCTTTTCAAAGATGGTATATACATACATACATATATATATATATATATATGCATCTCCTTATTTCATTATTTAATTTGGTTATACACGAGTTTATTAAATTTTCGATTATTAACGCTTTTTGTATAAATGCAAGTTATAAAACTATGAGACGTACACGACCATTACCATGGATAAAATTGCGAAAATTTTGGTATAGACCGCGTATGATAGTAGCGGTATTTAGAATCGTAATTCATGTATATTTGTAATTGTGTTTAGAAATATATATATATATATATATATATTAGAGAGATAAAAGATTAATAGAGAACCCTAAAATACGATGTATATTTGAACCAAAGTTACATATTCATGATTCATGCATGTTTTTACAATATGATGTATATTTAAACCAAAGCTACAGATGTTTACATATATATTTTCAAATGGATTTTTTCGATTATTTACATTTAAACCTTTTATTCTTATCTTTTCACGATGGTCTTCTTAATTATATATATTATATGAATAATCAAATAAAAACTATAAAATGGTTGAGAATCGTAAGAACCAACAAATTTGTTCCAGATATAAAATAAAAATTGGTTGTTTTGTATTTGTAGTAAGTTATTTAATAGTTGGCATGTTGAATCATATACATAATTAATGGGTTGGTTTAGATCGATTCTAACCGGATAATTATAAATTACTTTTATTCAATAGAATAGTAAATAAGAGTTATAGAGTATTAAATTCGACATATTAAATATAATTTCATTGTAAAAATAAATAAATTATAGAACAAATATACGTACAACTTTAAAAATTCTAATCATATACATTGTAGAAAGTAGAGCATATAATATTTAAAGTGCATACATTATCATGCATTGCATGTTACTCCATGATAAATTTCTGATCCAATATCCAATATTTAATAAAGACATACAGTCTCAACTGCTTATTTATATATATATATATATATATATGTATGTATGTATATGTATGTATTTATGGGAGATGAATGGATATGGAATATTAATTATGCAGCTCATCAAGAAGCATTGAAGGGAGAGATAGAGAGGCTAAAGCATATGTATTACCAACAAAAGAAGATGGAAAATGGATCAAATGGTGCAACTCGTCATGATTCCCCAATTTCTGATCATTCTAATGCACCTCAAGAACAACTTATGATCAACTAACAACGCCATCTGTAAGATCAATTAATTCATTAATATTCTTTCCATATTTTAATAACACTGCTAGAAAACGGAAAAATAGCGACGGATTTCAAGCTAAGATACGAGCAAGATCTCGGGTCAAAAACTATAACAAAATCGTGATGCAAAAAATGTCCAATTGATATTCTAATAGACTATTTTCCGTCCTATAGATAGTCTAGCTATTATGACACTGACATACACATTTTCGGCGTCCCGTAAACTTGATTTTGTTACAGTGGTGTTATATTTATTAAAAGTGTTATAACACGCTTTTGCACATTTTAACAGATTTTTTAGAACTTTTTTAAAATAAAGCATGGTTTATATTAATTATTCTATAAGATATATTTTAGAAGCGTCCTTGGGCAACTTGTTTCTATAAGACTCTTTTTCAAATAACGTTCTACAAAATACGTTGCTTTATTTTAAAATGTCTTCAAAAGCATTTTATAAACTTATTACAACACTTTTAAATATGATGTTTTATTGTTTCATCGTATAAACTTATTACAACACTTTTAAATATGACTCAACGTTTTTATTTTTTTTCCCTAGTAATTTACGGATGTGAAATAAGTTATTGAAAAACAGTTATTTGTTTGGTTGCACCAAAAACTTTGAACCTAATTAACTCTTGTGATTTCGGATCTGTTGCTAACAGGATACGTTACGAAGCTGATGTTCGGATCAGGCAACTCCAATTATGTGATCTTCGAATGGATTTCGGTTCTTGATGAAGATTGTTTAAGTTTTATTTAATTACTTAATTTAATTAAAATGTAATTAATTGATCACCATGATTTGTTAAATTCCCTTCATTTCAATTGTCGTTTTATTATATTAATCAAAATTAAGAAGAAAAAAAAGGGTATTAATGTACATAGAGTGTTTCATGCTAATTACCTTCACTTTCATTTTATAAGATTCAATTTTTCATTATTAAAAATAATATATTTTATTGTCAAAGATTTCTTGTAATAGACATCAAAATGGAGTTTCTAAAAATAGAAACTTTAAATAAAATACGTTTCACTTCGATGCAATTAATCTTAAAAATATCATTTGTGGATTCAGAAGAAAATGATATCAAAAGGTTTAATGACATTTTACAGTTGATTATTAAGTTGGGCAAAACAGGAGAAATGTCTGTAAAACCTCCCCCCAGGATTCTTATGTCGCCTTGTAACAGGTAACGTTTTCGATATTGCCATGTTCACATGATCAAATGGCATCCAGTAAGCGTTTTTACTTACTAGATAAGTGTTTGGTAAACGGCCTCTTACCCGTTTCTATATGAATAGGTTGAAACTGCTTTCATTAGAAATACTTATGATTGTATGACGTTTTAGAAAATATACGATCGATGCAAGTTAATTTATTTTAACATGTTTAACATATAAACGGATTTTATGAAGGTTTTTAATTGAAAAGCTTGGTTAGCAAAAGAAATCGTTTATGTTCTGCAACGGGAAGCTAAACCGAAAACGCGTCATGAAGGTCCTCTAACTCCACACATGTTCATGGAAAACCTACTTTGAAAAGCGCTATTCTGATGTCTACGATAAAACATCTCAAACAAAAAAGTTTAATACTTTTTTTGCAAGAACGATTTTTTGTAAGTTATGAACCGAAATAAAGATTTATAACTTGTATGAACTTGACCAATAAAATGACGGTCGATAACAGATGTCGGTTTTAGAATCAAACCACGATCGTTCTTGGAACAAGCAGAGCAGATAACATGTACTTTTGTAACATAAACTAAAGATATAAGAATCAAATACAGCTTCTATCTTTATATATTCTCATATTATGATTTATACAAATCATAAATGTTGCATGTGTTGTGGGACATAGCTGAGAATTTGGTTCCCAAATAATTGGATGGTGGCAAAGTCATGTTGTCATGTTGCATTCTTGAGATGGATTGTAAGATTTTCCACATGGGATGGGGAAAGCATCAGGGCATGGACTTTTCTGTAAGCTGGGATCCATGTTCTCATAAGCATCAACGAAAATCCAAACCAAACAAACCCGGTATATTCCACTTTGAGGAAGGGTAAGATGTAAGCAGATTTGACCTCTACTCTAGTATATCACATGCTCCCTGGAGGTGAGATCTAGGAAGGATAAGATGTAAAAAGATCTGACCTCTACTCTAGTATATCACATGCCACCTGGAGGTCAGATCTAGAGTAGGTAAGATGTAGGAAGACCTGACATCTATCCCGTTATATTTTACGTAGAGGTGAGATCTGGGGAGGGTAAGATATACACAAACTTGACCTCTATTCTGGACCTGGTAGATCCCACCGGAGGTGAGGTCTAAGGAGGGTGAGATGTAAACAGACCTGACCACACAAGATATAATATACATTGTCAAAAATCAAAGAATGTTTTACACATGCACATGGTTGAATGAAAATGTATGACTATAAGTAGATTGTCAAAAATACCCTTCAACACCAACAAAACACGAATTACCATCCATGTTTAGTAATGATATAAAGGTATATAGGGCACGCGTCTAGATATGACCTTTTACATGACAAACCGTACCGGCCTACATGCATGAAGAATATAAGTAATGATGATAAGGCATGCTCGTGGCTGCATACATAAAAAGAGGGAAGGTTGCGCAAATGGCCGAACTCATAGTCTAGAGGATGCATATGGTATGTATGTATATATGCAGCATCACAGCTATGTGTTTGTATAACAGATCAAGGGAAGATGATAAGAATGGTGAAATGCAAGTAGAGTGTGTTAACGAGTATGGTTGGTATCTGTTATTCTAAACTCGAAAAATTGAGTGTTGATGATCACATATGATTTAATCTTTCGTACTGACCTATGTCTGAATAAAGTAGAAGACTGAGGAAACACATATCAAGGCATCCGTCAATATAAGTCCTACCACGTCAAAAACAAATTTTGGAGCAAACAATCCCCACACCTGCAGACATAGAGAGAGAAAAAGAGATGAAGTAGTTGGTTGGATTATAACTATACATTTTGAGGTCAAAATATAGCTTTCTAACTATCGTAAAAAAGAGGGCAAAATGCATCAAAAAGCAGTAAAGTTTTTTTTAATTCCTATTTAGTGTAACGCATAAATGTTTTCCACTTGAGGTAACCAAGTTTCCAATTTTCCTGTTTTGTACTAGTTTTGACCAATAAACTGCTACTCTAGTTACATTTGATGACGTGGATACCCATTTTTGAATTGCTTATGAAAGGTTTCGGAGAAGGGGATGATAAACTCGGCGTCTACATCATCAAATTTACAAGATCAGCAAAGGTTATTGGTCAAAATTGATAACAAAATAGGAAATTTTGAAACTTTGTGATTAAGAAAAAAAATCTTTGTTACACTAATAGAAACCACGACAAACTTAGTTGCATGTTGATGCATTTTTCCCTGAAAACATATAAGAACTTTGAAGAAAAATAATTTTGCCTAAACTTTTATCAGCATACCATCAAATGCCGTTTTTGGATTATGACACACAGAACGGTGAACGTGGTTGTGACAGCCATAATAAGACCGTATATCAGATAAACCTGAACCAGAAGAATTAATGAACTATTTACAGATGTCGGATTTCATAAAAGTTAATTAAAGAAAATAAAAAAGATTCAAAAGAATAACCTGAAACAGTTGGATTAAGGATTGTCTTGTCTGCTTAGCCTCATTAGATGAGTATTTGTAGGCAACAAGAATTGGAAGTCCAAGAGTTGGAAGAATGTGAGAAAAGCCATATGTCTCGATTGTCAGAAGGATTGCTTGGGGTATAATAGTAAATTCATCAAACCTGAAACATTTTAATGGATACATTTTTTCAAGGAGACATCAAAGAAAGAGAGATTGCAAGTGAATAATGGTTTGATGGATGGGTTCAAGAAAAAACACAAATAAAAGGAGAACAAGGGAACCATATCAACTGTTGGATCTAAAAAGTAGATGGCCCAGATTCGAAATACACTAACCCAACAAATGCAGCAGCATACCGGAGGCCATCAAAAGCACACCTGTGTAGAGAAACAAAAACATCACTCACTTACATGCCAATAAAGTTCCGTCTAGATACCAAAGGGACTTTGGCCTAGCAGTATCGTAGCCCTTGGCCTTCTAGGAGGTCAGGGGTTCAAACCTCACCATAGGTAAGGAGGGTGTGTGAGTTTATTTGTTGTATTTGCCGTATATAAATATTATATACTTCAAAAAAAAAAAGTTCCGTGTAGACATCAAGGTTTCCTGGGGAGTCTTATAGCAGTCTTTACATCTTTTGAAGACTTTTTGATTCACCCCTTTGATTGATTGTGTATCTCAAAACACACAATGCTGAAACACTTCCCCTTTCTATTACTCAACTTTGTGATCTTTTAATCACACCCAAGTAACATTATTGGTTGCTTCAAGGCTCTACCCTTCTTATATTCTCAAAGACGATCAAAGTTCTACAAGTATAGGCTTCATTAAAAATATGCTAAAAATCATAAGAGAACTTTAATATCTCCAGTAGTCGCTTACCAATGACCAGAACAAAAGAAAAGACATGATGCTAAAAGGCTCCACTGTGTAACAGGGGAAGAATACAGAGCTAAGAGACCAGTCGTGGCATTCTTATTATCCTGTTCCAGGCCTTTCAATCTCGATATCAGCCAGCCTACAGACAGCAAAGAATATTTGGACACATTAGTTTATCTCATATCCCTCTGTTTCTCATCTCCATTTTTTCAATCTTGTTTATTTACGCTCACATCATGGAATAGGACCCATAAAAGGAAAACGGATCACATGCAGCAAATAAAACAAAAAGAATCAAAGTCGTGTGTAATTGCTATTAATACACTTCTAAAGTCAGTGATGTATAACTGTGGCTGATATGATGTGAACTCAGAATCCTACAAAGCATTAGAAAGTACTCCTCTTAGTCCCATTAATATTATCGTCAAATATCTAAAGTACTCTTCAATAACCCAAATGAGTGCACTCAATTTATTTGACATGATGATAATCAACAAAAAGTTAATCTAATAAAAAAAGGAAATGTACGTAATAACAAAGAAACTGCTGAAAGGAAGAAAAGAAAGATAAGTTAAGAAACCAGTATGAAATGATCGATGTTTTTTTATTGGGTGGGGTGGTACCTCCTACAACTGATGCCAAAGCGATCCAGGGTCCTTGTTTCCCGGACAAGATCATGAGCGTGGAGCTCCATACAGATAATATAGCCACTGCTTTCATAACTGCCATCTCTCCCCACTTCGAAATCTCAACTTCTTCAAAGAACTGAAGAACTGCAAGGGACAACAGTTGTGCGATACCCATAATGTATATTGCACGAGGAATGAAATTGCCTTTAATGCCATCAAATATGAGTGGTGTCATACTTGATAAGTTACTTTCTAAAGTCCAATGCAATGCAAGTAGAATGTAACTAAATATGCTTCCTGTAATAACAAATTTCAACAGCCTGTTACATGAGCTGCAAGCAATGCTTTTATACAGCAGGCAGGCCAATATTATCAAAGGCACTATTGGCATCAAGTCAGCTACATACATCCAACTGTGGAAATCCAATACTTCCTGGGGCTTTGATAGCCCAAGTTCAATCGTGAATCTTAGGATGGAGATCAAGAAAACAAATGCAGTGGCCTGTAAACAACAAACAGTTAATCCTGCAAAAAAGTATTCCAAACATAACACTAAGACAGATAATAATAATAACACTATATAACAAACATCATATCATTGCCAATACTTACTTCGAATATCATCTTCTTTGTCATGATTGAATGGCGTAAGCCCAACATGCCAATAGAGGCCAAAAGAAAATTCGTCATTTTTCCTTCTTCCACTGTCTCAGATAAAAACAAAAAGAAAAGAAAATGACTGGACAGTTTGTAAAAGGAAGAGCATAAAAACTGTAAAGAACTATTCACAATCAGCACTTACAGATGTAACTATTTGATAAGAAGCTACATGCACGGGCAGTCACTATAGTACAACTAACAATCAGCCCAAAGGAAACAGAACTGGTTTCACGGGAGGGAAAAACGGTTATGTCATCCACCCTTTTGATTACAAGAACATGGATGAATATGGATATCAACAAAATGCCAAAACCAATACCCATCATCCTTAAATTAAATTCTGTGAATTTGGTCCGGGCAAGCTCAGCAACACTTGCCAAGAAATTAGAGTATAAATCTATTTGCTTCTTGAGAGCATCAAATGAGGTCCTACAGGCTTCATCTTTACATGATGCTACATCATGCAATGAATCTGACCAGTTTACTGCCTGAGCATACATATCTGCTACATGCTTCAAGTCGTCGACAGAGAATCCTATAACTGATGAAGCTGTATAGACGTCTATGTATTTCTTCACCTACATATGAAGCTGAATATCAGAAATGAGAACTGAAGGGAGAATAGAAACATTATGAATCTGCAGAGCAAAGAAAAGCAAAAGGGGTGACTAGTATGTAATTCTGTTAACTTATAAGCAATGATAGAGTATTCTTTTGATGCAAGTTTAAGAAAATATGGCACGTCTGCTTCATCTCTTGATTTGCCTGAGGGCTAGTTCTTCCTGCCAACTCACCTTAACACGTCTATTTTATGAATAAAAATATCAAGAATTACATGATCTAACTACCAGCATCATTTCATTGTGACGTTTCAAGAAAGATATGTGGAATATCACGCCTTTTAGTGTTACATGGCATGATGGTTGGTGCAGTCCTACATTACCAATAATTTAATATTGACATAGTCAATGAGATATATGGTAGTACCTTAATCACCAACATTTTTCAATTACATTACAGAAAAAATAATGGTACTGGCTATCTGCAGAGAAGTCATCTTTAAATAGATGTTAGATATCACACAAATGTAATAATGAAACATGCATGATGTCCTTGAACATCTTTAAGTTATGCCATTTCAAAAATAAAATAAAATGAAATCATGCTTTGGTATCAACTTTCTTCTGTATTCGGGTCACAAAATTTTAGGATCGATATAAAAACAAAACCACCACACCATTGTGCATTTGCACTTGTAGGCTCCACAGGTTCACAGTTTGGATGAAGACCAAAGCAAGAAAACATTTAATATTATATGTATTGTCTTCTTCATCTGTAATGGACAGTCTTATCAGAAGCAAGGTGCGACGAGGAGGCACGCACACTTGCAAAAAATTAAAACATGTGTACATAGATGAATACATTATAAGTTAAGTTCAAGTTCCACTTAATATAAATAAATGTTAAATTCAACTATTCAACAACTTCAAACTATCGAATAAGCTTAACAGGCACAAACTAAAATGGATAGATTAACAGTGAATAAAATCAATAGCCACTGATTAAGGTTGTGACTTGGGGAAAATTGTATCTCAGTGTAAACATTACAGCAAAATATATACAACTATGACATCTAGGAATGTATAGTAGTATATCAAATCTCATTATGTATGGAAAGTAACTTGATGCCCTTGCAAAAAGGTGGTTATAATGGGTACTCTCTCAGAAAGAGTTTGTTGTGATCCGTCTCTTCAGTGGTACTTTGTTTCTATTGATGTTACCTTCCTAGAATCTCATCCCTACATTTTTTTATCTCGGTCTCATGAATCCACTTAGTCATCTAACCTTTCCCTTCTTAAGTATCTTTGAAGTCATGGTGCAGATTTATCCTCTTGATCCCGGTGCCCATCAACTACAGATACTTCAACAGAACCTACCCCCCCCCCCCTCTTCAAGTCTATCAGCACAGAAGGAAGAAACATGATATAGGCCCTAACAACACAGAGCCAATATCAACATCTGAGGAGAACCATGATCTTGATTTCTATATAATACCTCCTATGTCTCCAATTATTGCTCAGAGAAAACCATAGCATATGTGTTAACATAAGCCTCCTCACAAATTCGATTATTCCATTTCTAACAATGTTTGACCACTCTTAGATATATGCGAAGGATTATAATAATACATATAGTCCTTGCTAAGCTCACTTCAGTTCCACTAGTCATTTGCGCATATTCATGTCTGGCTAACGAATATCTTAATGCACCTGTTGAGGAGAAAGTGTGAATACAACAACATCCTGGTTTTGTTGTTAAGAATGGGGCTTCAAAAGTGTGTCATTTACGATGATTCCTCTATGGACTGAAACATACTCCTCCTGTTTGGTTGATTGGTTCTATAGATTTTCTGAGTCATAGGATATTCTAGCATGACCCAGAGTCCATATGACTACTATGTATTTTTCTGGAAGAAAAATATCAGAACTACTAGTCTTCAATGTAAACGACATTGCAAATGAATGATGATGCAGAAGGAAGTGCAACTCTGAAGTTCCTCACTAAAAAATAATTGTAGACAAAGGATCTAAGAATTCTTAAATACTTCCTAGTCATTGAAGTGTCTAGATCTCAACAGATGCATTTCTGTGTTGCAGGAAATATGTTTCTGGATATTCTTGCAAAGACTGGTATGCTTGATAGGCTGACATGGAATTTCCCAATATTCCAAATATCAAGCTTTATCCAAATGAATGGGAACTTCTTGATGATCTAGGAAGTTTTTTTAGCTTGGTGGGAAAACTGAACCATCAGACTGTCAGGAGACCATATATTGCTTTCGTAGCAAGTGTGTTATCCCTCATACTAGTCATTGGAGGCTCCATGATATATCCTAAGATACCTCAAAGGTACACAAGAAAAAGGCCTACTCTACACTAATTAAGGGCATACTCAAATTTTGAGTAATCTGATGCAAGCCATGCCAAATGTCCATATTAGTAGATCAACTATAAGATACAGTGTGTACTTTGGCAGAAATCTTATACCTTGGAAAAGTAAGACAGGATGTAGTCTCCTTATTCAGTGTTGAGTTTGAATATTAAGACACGGCCCAAACTGCATGCAAGTTGACATGCGTAAGACACTTGCACAAGATTTGAAAGACTCCTAAATAGGGTTACTAGTTGTAATGTGACAATCAACCAGCTATGCATATTTATCTAACATGAATGTACAGAGATATCGAGGTGACTGTCATTCATCAATGAAAAAGTGGTTGGAATCTATCAAGACCCCCCTGATTATAGAACCATTTGGGTCCAGTTAGGAGATCAAGTTATGGATAAACTTAGAAAGCCATTGCAGTATTCACAAATTAGTACTAAATGTCACAGGTGTTCTATCTATGTGAAATGAAGATGAGGCATCATTCACAGGTTCCAAGCCCCAATAGAAATCCCTGTGGTATACAATATGTTTCTTAGTTCAGCAACATCATGAACATGACAGAAAGTTGTCACATGGAATCATGGCTAACATTTTAGGTTTTACACATGGATCCAAAAATTTGTAACCTACAACATTTTATTATTTTACAGTTATTTAAACAAAAAACAAAGTACATAACAAGTAAGAATGCAGGGTATTGTCAAATTAGTATCCATCTTAACTACTTGTTAAGATTGATAGTACCCATAGTAGTCTGCAACCATCACAAATGACAATAAGCTTCCAAACCAGCACTTATATTGAGAAAGACAAACCATTTAGAAAGTAGTAGTTACCTGCCAAGAATTGATGCAGAGTACTTTAGCATAATTGTGCATCCATTCTTCCAGTTTTAATTGACTCTGGCTACTGCTCATATCATAGTCTTCAAGATTCCATGTACCAGCAACTAAAGCATAGAGCATTGGATTAACACGCCCGATGCTGTTAAGTAAATCAACAGTGTGTTATACATTGCAAACAAGAATCAAGAACATGCTATCATAAAGATGAATTCAGAGCTTGCCAAAGAAATTGCTAAGAGCAGTTAGATGATCGTGTGCTAATACTTCTCCCAGGAGTCCAATGGGCAGTTGAGAAGACACTAATGGGTTTGGGATTATTCTAAAAAAAGATTGGCGGTAGGGGTGTGGCTAAGGAAGTTATTATATATGGGACTGGCAAAAATGCAAACCATGGTGTGTGCTAGGACAATTTGGGTTCAGTGGAAACAATTCCAGAATCCACGTTGTACAGAAGAAATCATGACAGCATTCTTACAAGCAAAATCAGACTTATCAGCTATGTCTAGTTTATGGTCAAGAAGCCAATGCATAAAAGAATATACCAACGATTAAGTACATTCAGCTTACACAACAAGTAGGAAAACTGTAGTTTCTCAAAATTTGGTTTGATGAATGGCTAGTGCAAAATAGTGTGTTGCAAGATGATTATGAGATCCTTATGCAGCTATACTAAGATAAATAGCTGGTTGAAGAAGAATGAAAAATCTTTTGGAGTTATAGACGGCTGGTAGAAAAGAAGAATGCAAGAAAGGTATTAGAGTAGCAGTGGATTTAGCTCCGAGAAAGAAAATGATAATATGGAACAAGGACCAGTATGGCATATGAAAAACATGAAAGATGAGGATCAGTGAGATGCAGAGGAAAAAGAATGGAAAGAACACATTTACCAAAGACGTACAGAAAGAAATCTAGAAACAGAATCCAAGTGCAAAGCCCTTGGACCATGCAACGGTCGCATTATTGCCTCCTAAAACAATGAAAATATCCTGGAGAATAGATTTTGTAGAAATTTATCTGCTTCTTGAGCATAAGCCTTCGAGAAAGGCAACAACAGCTAAAAGACTATGGAAGAATATTAACTAGTTAAGTAAAACATTCCTATGTAAGAATGGTTCCTTTAAATACAAAAAATGATAGTATGCATATGCCACACCTTCCATAAGGAAAGGGGATTCCAAGCAATGCCGACACTGTTGCTGCAAAATCAAGCTGCAGGTGCACTTAAGTGAGGTTGCTTCATAACTATAACTGTAAATCATCCAAAAAATCCGAAATGTCACATGCACTCAAAATAGATCACCAAACCTGTTCAATGGAACTAATGCACACCTCTCTTCCATCCTGCGAATATAATAAAAAAATGAATAGTAACTATTATATTAGTAGTAACTGTAGTAGCAGCACTAGTAGTAATGTTGACAAGAAACATTTATCAAACGGAGTAATACAAATACATTAAGGGGTGTTTGGTTAGACATATTAAGCCAATGTGAATTGAAAATAAAAGAAACTGTTTGGTTTTATATAATATAATGGGCTCATTCCCCCATAAGCCCAAATTTTGATTCTAGGTTAAACTGGGGGGAATGGAAATTCATTTTCATTTTCATTCCAATTTACATTCATCTGCCTGAACCAAACGCCCCCTAAGAATAAACGTCTGCATGAGTGTGTGGAACTTTCAGTGCAAGAAGGAGATGGTACCAAATCTAGTTTACAAGATGAGGCATCAAATTCGGGTGGAACTGTAATTGAAGGCTTTCTCAAACTCATTGCAAAGATTGACGTGTCAACCTGCATATATGCCACCATTTAGATCGAGACGATGAGACAAACTACAACTGTAGAGCACACTTGGCCTTTAAGAGGACAACAATTATATACCTCTTCAGCGCTTCCACCACCATGATCTCCATTTATTGTTTGTCCATGATCACCCATAACAAGAAGTAAAGTATTTTCATGCAGGCTACCTCTACCAGCCTGGCTCTGCAGAACTTCAACAACTTTCTGAAGTAGAATGTTGGCACCAAGGCCGTAGCCATTGTGAGGGAATAAATTACAAAGAATACAAAGATAACATATGGGTTCGCCACATTTCAGGTCATAAGCACCTTGCAAAGTAAAACAAAATAAACAAAAACCATGATCATTTTGGCTCCCTACGTTAATGAAAGTGTACACATTTCATGGGTCATGAATTATAGACTCAGTCAAACACAATTGGTAAAGATATTTTATTATGTGATTCTGTAACATCCCAAAATTTTAAAACAACTCTAGTAACAAAAAATTTCATTCCAACATCATCATAAAATACCGCAGCGGAAACTAAAACTTATATAACTGAAATTAAACAGAAATCTGATATGGAAGTCTTCAAAATTCGACTAAATCAATCTATATATAAACAAGGTCGGTCCTGAGGTTTCTAATGCCCTGGGTGGAAGGGCTAAAAAATGCCCCGACACCAATCCTTTAAACAAAAAATACATGTTGCATGGGGGAGAGGGAGTCCTCTTTTTTCTCACGAACTCCGTCGACCTCTTCTCTCTCTATCTCTCACGAACTCTTGACCATTCCTGAATTGACGAACACAAAAAGAACACAGGTACAAGAATCATCACTGGAGTTCTGAAGGTTTCAGCCTTGATTCATTTCCTCCTCCGATCTCAGTCATCTCACCATGATCACAATGCACCGTAAAAACTAACGAGCTCAAGATTTGCTCAATAAGAGAGAGATTATCGTAGGATTCAGTTGTAAATGAAACAGATCTGGCTAACATAGATTTTGATCTCTGTTTTTCTTGCACGATGCCTATGCATCTATTTGATTTAGGCGCCATTGAGGAAATTACAGATTTTATTTCAAAAGATCTTGGTTTATGTTCTTAACAATGTTTTGGGATAAGCAACTCGATTCCTATTTGAGTAAATAAAGCCTCATCAGTTATTTCCTCCATAAAGTATAAACTGGACTTCTGTTCATGTTTTGATCCAACAACTTTTTTTATCTCAAAACTACATTTCTACCAAATCCAATGATATTATGATGCTTGTAACGTTGTCCACTGATATATAAAGCACATGTTATCATTACAGCTTGGGTCTGTGGACCTTCTGGTCACCGGTTCGATCATCACTCTGATTTAGACCCACTAAAATAAACATTTGGAGAAACATTGTAGGGCTTAAGAGTTGAAGAATTAACTATGTCAGTAATCTTACAAAGCCAGATCCTAATCCCAAATCTTCACCATCTTCATCCCATTGCTAAGTATCCTCAAAGAAAGTGCCTCTGTCCGAAAATTATATAACCTCATCACTCCAATTTTTATTATATTTTTCACGGATATAATAGGTAAGAAACATCACATTGTCCTGCGATATATATTCCCCCTTTTCTCAACATATAGATATTTGCTGATAAGAAAGATATCACAGCAGGCACAAAATGACAAAATTTTGAAAATTTTCCAAATCAACCACTTAACTTCCTAAGTCTTCAAAGCCGTCCAACTGTTGTAATTTTCACAAATAAATGCTAAAACCAAATAACAAGATTATTACACATTCTATTAAAATTCAGGCGTGGTGCATAATTGAAGAGGAAGTTACTTCTACATCATATTCTGCTAGTAGTTATAGATAAGTGGACTAGTGTGACAAAGAAGAAAGTGCTTATAGTGAAAGGTTCCATGAAATTGGTTCTCAAAAATTAAATTAGATTAAAAAACAAAAAATAAGGTAAATAGAAAGGAAAGGAAAGATGGAGGCAAGGAGGGGAGGGGTGAAGAAGTCACTGTCCAGGGATTAGGAATACAATATATACTCAAGTGGCTAAGGTTCATTTTTTTGGAGAGTGAGCTTTTAGTAACCAAAAAAATTCACACATATGGGATCTTTTTGTCCATTTCATGATTCCTATCTAAAGCAGAGGGGCATATTGGGTATTCTTTTTTACCTAGTGAGAAACCATCCAGGAAACTTCAGAGATATATGCAAGGAATCAAATCATTCCAATGTGACCTTGTTAGATTACTCGAAATTGAATGTCTCCTGATTTGTAGAAGTAATCAATATAGGCATACCTCCAATTGCTCATTGTACTGCTGAAGTTTCTCAATCATTTGAACTGAATCAACACCAAATATATGACCAGCATGATCCTGTGTGAACCAAAATAAATCAGCACCATATTTATTGTTATACCACATAGAATATAAATAAATGGCAATGAAAGAATAAAAATGAGATCTAAATCAAGCCATTAACTAATTCATAACATATAAAAGTGTTCAGATTCATCATTTATCAATCAACTAACCATTACCCCTAGGCAATGTTATTTACCTTACATATACCAGCTACAATTATAGGCACATTCACAAAAAAAAAAAAAAGTTACCATATAACTGTCATAACTAAAGTATTCTTCTGCAAGAAGAAAGAGTAAGAACAAAAAATCTGCTACATTTTATCAATTCACACATGCAAAGAGTAAAACTCAAATTGTGCTGCATCATATCAACATCAAGACATATTGCCCATAAATTGGGTTACATGTTTGTTTCCCTTCGGTAAGAGAATATGAAGAATATAACCAACAGGGAGAGTTCCTTCCACTATCTCAAATAAATATCAATTTCCTCTACAAAGCATGAGGGTTCAGCTATATTTAATTGTAAACTGCAGTTCTTCTTGTAATCTGCCATCATACTACAGCTATATTCCATAGACTTGGTTCTAACAAGTCCTTTCTAGGATGCATCAAGCGGTCATTGAATAATTATTACAACTTCATAGAAGTTAGTATGGCTGTTACAAAAGTAGATAGCTTCATCACCACCGTTAATCTTTGTTCTTAACAAAGAGAACATTGTTCATTGTGTTACGCTCTATCAACACCTTGTTATGTAGCAATCCAGCTACTTTCAGGTTTTTTCCTCAGTAAAAGAAGATAATGTTTTTTTTTGGATAAAGAGTAAAAGAAGATAATGTCTTCAACCAAGTAAAATGGTTGTGCTAATACTTCCCCACTATCTCAAGTCACTATCAGTGCAAACCAAGAATCCCACACCATTTCAATAGTAAACACCACATGTTTCACATAATCACCCACGTACTAAAGCTAGGCTTAAAATCTCAAGACTTGTTGGCTACTAGCAACAGTCTGCTCTACAATGCATCATATTTCCCTTGTGATGTATAAGTTTAAGAAATCACTCAATTAATCACTTCAAAACATAAGAATGCGAGTTTTTTCTCAAGAGGAAGTAGGGTTGGATAAACCAGTTGGTGCCTTGCATATCCCAAGCATGTATATCTAAAAATTCGAAATGCTAATAAATGCATCAAAAAAAAGTTAATCTAGTACAATCACAAAGTGTCAAAAGAAACATCAAAGAAAAATACTCAAACATCATCAAACCTTATTTCTCAATTGAGTCACATACCACACCGAGAAAATGTGCTATAAGGACATCCCAATCATCATCATACAAGGTTGGAATTAGGTGACTGATACAACCATTATCCACCTGGCAAAGAGATCATGTTACAAGAACCTTATTAGACAAGCACCAAATAATATCAAGTGCAACAACAAATTAAATCATGTTAGCAAGCATACCGTATCCAGATCTTTAACATTGAAAGAAGGGTAGGGATATGATTTATTAAAGTGATGAGGAAACAATTGTGTCCAAGTATCATCTCCCATCATCACTACTCGCTTTCCATTTTGAACAAGCTGTAAATAGAAATTTATTAATGAACAAGCCTTAAGCGAATTTCTTAAGATAACCAACTTAAATCCATAAAAAGATCAAAAACAAGATATTGAGAGAGAATGACTATAATAATAAAACATCTCGCATCAGGTACATCTTCAATTCATGATTGAATCAAACCTGATGTATGAGGTTATCTTCAACAATTGCCGGGGCACCAAAGCTATTCCCTATGTCGATAAAAGTTGGAAGTCCACCTGTTGTCAACCCCTGGATGATGATAGGTCCAAAATCCAGTTGAAGTTAAAATGTGCGTCAGTAACCTATATGTAATGCTTTACATTCTCTGATACTGGAGAAATAGAAAAGAAGGGCATAAAGGTCCACCTTTTTAGAAAATATTGGGAAACGAAGAGCGTAAACGGAAATGGTTTTTTGTTTTGGGAATATCTCAGAGCGACAACCTCGAATATCACCTTTGAACACGGCCTTTATCCTTTACCACTTGATAATATAACTCACTCAAGGATCTCACAAAAAAGAGTAACTATAGTCCTTATCTTATCTACTTCTTTTAGTCCCTTATAGTGTATTCCTGATATCAGCTACTATTGAAATTTTACTTTCTTAATGTAGCACATATGTAGTTGCTCCTTGTGATCTATAATATCCTAAGGATGACAACAAGATGGTACCAAATACATGTTCTCTATCTGCGGTGGACACAATCGCACACAGAAATATATTTAAAGGTTGGTGATTGATCTTAACCTAAATTTTTGCCCTATGTACATCTTCCCACCCCTCACCCATACATAAGTATGAACTCTTGTCAACTATGCTCACCTTCAGGCGCTGCAAACTTGTTGTAGGTGGATCAGCAATAGCTTTGAATATCCTAGCAGCTGATTCTGATTCAGATGCAAATTTGTGTAGCACTTGCAGTTTGTCCATCCATGGTTTTTTCTCTGTAACATTCACAATAGCGAAACTAATGCTATATGCCATCACATTAGAGTAAAATCATTCTTTATATGTGTAAACCTACTATTATAGTATTCCCTAACAGTTTATATGCAACTATATCCCATTGCAAAATTTTCTTCTTTTGGGTTAATTTTAAGTTAAAGTTACCTATGTGCTGTACAAAATATAGATCAGAGGAAAAATCAAATATAAACCAAATAAACGATGCAAACTTATAAACCGGTTTTCATGTGTCTAAGAAACAACACATGTGAAACATTCGGTATTCACAGTGTTAGTGTCATATATGAAACATTCACTGTTTTGGTTGGGTGTGGAAAAAATAACACGAAAATATGTTTATATATGAAACACACTGATACATACACAACAAAACATATGAAACAACATGAATCATAACTTAGAATCAAACTCATTGAACAGTTTGGATTGGTTTTCACTAGCAAGTAACATTTATTGGGTTTGTATTTGATCATTGGTAACATAGATTAAAACCCCTACTTTGTTAATTCTTGAACTAAATTTTGAGAAGGGGCATATTGAAAGACCCCAAGATTCAGAAATTGGATTTCTGTATTCGCAGCCAAAATCTGTAATTTCTCATCATGGAGCTTTTCTATTTACCTTTCTGCGCAAAAATGCAAACTGAACTTAATACATTCAATTCAGTACGTTACCTTCAAAGAAGGTACTTGGAGCAACAAAGTCAAACCTGAAAAAGAAAATCACACACAATCACTTCGATAAGTAAAGAGAGAGTATGTATACGTGTGTGTGTGTGTGGGAGAGAGAGAGGAAGTATACCTGAGAGCATCGAGAACAATGATAACAAGCCGATCAACAGCAGGTTTGGTCCAACAAGTAACACCATCATGATCACCTTGAGGAGATCGATCTGGAAGGCCGCACGGAGATTGGGAAACATCGGAACACTGACTATGGTGAGGAAGTTCTGTTCGTGTGAGGAGGAAGCCACTGGTGAAGAGTAGTATGGCGATGCAATGGAGAAGTAAAACCAAGAAGAACACCATGAAAGCCGATCTCCGGCCACCACAGGAGGTGTTCTTCCACCACTCTGTCACTGCCATTCCTATGTCGAGAAGTTTTACTCTACTGACTAGAATTTTGATTTAATGAAAAACTAAATTACAAAATACCGACCATGGGCTTACAAAAAACGTGGTTATTTTTTTTTTTACCAAGACTATAAGAATTACGAAAACCAACTATAAAGTGGTGTTTGATTGGTTTGAACTTGACTTCAAAAATCAAAAGTATCAAGAGATTTCAGGTTCAAATCCAAGAAGGAATAAAAATCCTCTTGTGGTCACGGAGGTTCAAATGCGGTGACTACGGGTTATCTGCAAAGCAGATAGTCGTCCTGGGATTAGTCGGCTCGCATAGCGGGTTGGATATCCAGATTAATAAAAAAATACGAAAATCAATCGGTATGGTTTGCATTTTGTTACAAAAATATCCCAAATTTTATGAACATTTACAAACGTTAAGTGGTATGCACGTACCTTGTACATTAGAGTATTTTGGTCATTTTGCTTAACTTTTACGAACTAAAATTAGCGTATAAGTCCTAAAACAAAGGATAACTAAAACCCCACCTAACATCTTCATCTTCGTTGCCTAACCCACCACCGCCATCGAACTTTGACCACCACTACTTCTCCCCTCATTCGGCTTTTGAAACCCTGAAACCCCAAAGAAGAAGATGGTGAGAATTACACTCCTTCGACCACCACTCTGTCTCCCCTCGTTCTGCTTCTGAAACTCGAACGGTGGTTCAAAAAATGTTGATGACAAATAGTCTATCGAACGAATTACAATTGAAGCAACAGTTGTGTTATCTCAAGATGGCATAAAGTAATTCATCGTCTAGTCATTTATCCACATTCAAATAATTGGTCTGCAACTTATAGAATATGGATGTGAAGTATGAAGATGATCATTTGTCTTTATTCTTGTTATCATCGTTGTCCGATTCTTATATTGATTTTCGTTACATGATCATGTATAATCGTGACAAACTTGTGTTGAATAATGTGATTATTGCTTTGAAATTGAAGGAGAAAACGAAACAAATCACGAATGGTGGTACTGAATTGAATGCCCGGGGGTCTAAATGTGAGGGGACGGTCAATTGAGAGATTTTCATATTCCTCTGGTAAGGCGAGATCCAAGTCAAAGAGCGAGCGAAGATTATGCAATTAATATCACAAGAAAAGATTTGTAATTGACGAATGTCATACGTTGAAGAACAAAGGGTAGGAGAAGGTGGCTGTAAAGAGTAAGCATGTTCTCGGTTCTGGTGAAGCTGATGTGGTCAAGGTTGGTTCTGATGGGGAGCTTCTTACGGTATTTGGAGGTGGGCCATCACTTTCAGATGCATGGATTCTTGATTTTGGATGTACATTTCACATTGTCCCACACATAAGTTGATTCCATACATATGAGGACCTTGATCAGGGCTCGGTTCTAACAAGAAATGATGTTGCTTGCTTGATTAAAGGACAGACATAATGAGAATTCGAATGTTTGATGGAGTTGGCAGAACCTTAGGGAATGTCAAGTACGTTCCCGATCTTTGGCGAAATATGTGATCTCTTAGTTCTCTTGAAGAGAATGGATACGAGTTTGTGGGAAAGAAGGTGTAAGACCCTAAAATTTGGAAAGAACGACTAATTTAAAATTTCCAATGATACAACAAATAAAGGATAATTTTTTTTCTATAAATTATTACTTCAACTATCTCGAATAGCAATTCTAGATTTAACATTAACAAATGATAAACTAAGTCTTACATAAGGACTAGGTCAAGATCAGGTGTTGTTACTAAAACCCAGTAAGGGTTGCTATCTCCAAATGCCGAATACGTCACCAAATAACTAAATCCTTCTCGTGCATCTATCTAGCAATCAACTCATCGCAATGTCGCTAGTGTCAACTTTCAACGAGGACCTGATACACATGTCGAAAAATAAAAATGTTAGGCTTAATGTCAAGTGAGTTCGAGCTGTTTTCATCATAATTATAAAACAGCACAACTGAAAGACTGATTATTTAAAATATAATTTCTCAAATGAAGCGTATTTATCGTAAAAGCAACTTCTTTCCAAAACCCACTGTTTTCTTGGTGAAAGCTCAAAATCAAAATTATTCATTCAATATAAAATCAAAATCCAACACTCACTCTAGAAACATAAATTAGGTTTAACGTTTAATTATTTTAATCATGGATATCTATTATTTAAAATGCCCCCAAAATGGCAAATAAGGTTCAAAACCTTAAAGCACGATTATTAGAAGAATACTCCATACTCGAAAACAACACTGAAAACGACGATAATATTATCTCCGGAAATAACACAATTTGGTAACGGGGGAGACTGGATTCCATTAGATGTGACGAAACACGAAAGTAGGCCATATGTCTACATTTATTCATTGAGTTCAACAACTTCAGGTCTATAGTCTAATGTTTTAACAAGCTCAACAACTTCATGTCTATTGCTCCTATAGGCCCCAAGCTCAACCATGCTAAGGGGCCGTTTATCAAACACTTACCCGATAAGTGCTTGCCGGTAAAATTTAACACTATTATGTACTTACCGGGTAAGATTTTAGTCCACCAAAACGACATAGTATACAATAATTTACCCGGTAAACGCTTACCATGGTAAGAGTCGTCGCCCTCACTTACCGGGTAAGACTCTTGATCCTTGTCTCGTTCTTACCGGGTAAGATTCTTGGTCTTTGCTATATTCATCCGGTGAGGTAATGTTACTTGGTAAGCGCTTACCCAGGTAAGCGTTTGGTAAACGGCCCCTAAGTCTATCACTTATTTAGGCGTCAAACTCAACCAAACTAGGTCTACTGCTTATTTATAAGCTCAACCACTCCAGATCTATTGCTCACATGAGTACCAAGCTCAACAACTCCATGTCTATCACATATTTAGGTACCAAGCTCAAAACAGGGATTATAATCCCATTTGTAAAACAACAAATCGGCTCATATACATATGGATCCACTACATTACATTTTAAATTACATGACTCAAACTGAATGACCAACACACTCAAGACATGTAATTCCAAAAAAATATGTCATAATCGCATATAACTCCAAAAGCTCGACATAGAGCAAAGCAAATCGGACAAATGTCTTCAATACTCATCTGAGTTAAAACCGAGTCAAAAGCTCAACAACTACATTGACTATACAATAAAAGTTAACAAAAGAAATAAATATAATTAACCAACGTTTATACAAATACATGCTCCAAGGACATGATTGACTCAAAACCTCGTCGTTAACGTTTTCCAAATGAAAACATGTTATTTATAACTTCAAAATTCATTAAAACACAATAATGTGTATTTTCCAATTGGTTTATAAAACCCAAGATACCAAGAGAGCAATAATCTCAAACAATCTCCATTTATGAAATAATCATCAAAATGACATACTTTCAAGATTTATTTACCAAAGTGGCCAAAACCCCAAATATCAGGGTATCACAATATTTATAACACAAAACGTACCAAATGTTCACAACTCATCAAAAAACCTACACATTTGAAAAATATCACGTAAAACTCATTTTAATACTTTAAAATGGACATTTTTGGCATGTCCAAAGTTTTCACAAATCAATTTGAACGCATCTTGCTAAATTTAGGCTAAATCTATGTTTTACCCTAAACTTGAGCTTCCTTTGGTAAGGATTTACATCCACAACCAACTATTACTAGAACCTTTATTTAGGTCACGAACAAACCTAAAATACACCAAGAGTACCCCAAAATCATATCCGTTATCAAAACCTTAATTATAGAGCAAAACCCCCCAAAATATTACCCCTTCGAGAACATGGATATCCCAAAATAAAACCTTGAAACCCTTAGGTTAGATCTCCTCCAAACATTCTCCCAAAGCTTCCAAAATGTTATGTACCAGCACCAGAAATCGCCAAGAGTAGAGAGGAAGAGAAGAAAGTGAACTCACCTCTTGTACTCAATCACTAAGGGGGCATTTGGTTTGTCATAATTTTTTTTTTTGGATGAAATGTTATCTGTCAAAGAAATTTGACTTGAAGAAATTGGAATGAAATGTTATCATATTTGACGACCTGTTTGATTAACAAACATTGCAATGAAATTTGTTAAAAGAATTTGAATCTGTCTATTTGGTTCACATAATGTAGCTTTGGAATTGGAATAAAATATTGGTAAATGACCAAATACCCTTGTTAAAAAAATTTGAAACTGAGATCCAACTACCGTCGTTGATATCAGAGGTGGTCGGCGGTGGTTTAGATCGGTGGTGGTCGACGGTGATTCAGGTTGGTGGTCATTCAAATTGGTAGCAGTCGACAGTATTTTCAGATCGGTGGTGGTCGATGGTGATTAAGTTTGGCGGTGGTTCAGATCGCTGGTGGTAGACGGTGGTTCAGATACTTTTGTGGTTGGCATTGGTTCGGATCGGTAGTATTATTTGGAGTAGACTGCTTTGCCAAGGAATGGAGAATTTGATATTCTAGCATGGTGGAAAGCAAATGGCTTGAGATATCCCACATTGCAAAAAGTTGTTAAAGATATTTAGTTATACTGTGTCTACTAGAGATGGCCAAAAATCGGTCCCGGGCCGGGCCTTAACCGGTTACGGCCGGGCCTAATCGTGACAAAAACCGGCGTTAACCGGTCCCTCCATAACCGGTCCCG